AGGATAGGGTTAGGTTAGGGTTAGGGATTAGGGTTAGGGTTAGGGATAGGGATAGGGTTAGGGTTAGGGATAGGGTTAGGGTTAGGGTTAGGGTTAAGACCTCAACGAACACCTTCCCAGACGTTGCTGCATTCGATGCCATTACGTCGGATGTGCTGCAACGGATGTGGAATGAACTGGACTATCGCTTGGACATCTGCCGTGTCACACGGGGCGCCCATATCGAACATCTCTGAAGGTGAGACAAAACTTTGATAGTTTATCTGTCGCTACGTAGCTGTAGTTTGGTTACAATAAACATACATTCGTCTAAAATTAATTTTCTTATTGGCCTATTCATTTTGACTAACCCTGTATTTTCATTCACTGGACCAAATTTGGTACAAATATCTGATATGCCCAAATTTGAATACTGGTGGGGTTTGGGAAGGGGGATTGATTTTGTCATTTGGGGGGGGGGGGGGTTGTTGTAGTTTCTGGGATTTATAGTTCACTTACAATCAAGGAGCATTCTGAACCCTACCAATGATGGAATTGAACCAAAATTAGCACACAGAACTTCCATGGGCAACTGGTGGAGTTTGGGGAAAATAGATCTTGACATTTGGGAGTTGTAGTTGTTGGGATTTATAGTTCACTTACAATCAAAGAGCATTCTTAATCCCACCAACATACAGAACCCGCATGCCTCAAAGAGACTCATTGGTGCAAGCCTCCCTCCAGCCTCACACACTTTCCCTTGCCCACACATGTGCACCATACTGCTATATGCCGAACATGCCTGTTCTCCCCTCCTTGCTTGGAGTCTCAGAAACACTCCACCCCTTGGCTGAGAGGCTAGCCAACCAAAGCAAGAGGAGAGCTTTTTTGGTGAGAAGATTCACTATCTATTTCCAAAAAGGAAGAGGACAGGCAGAGAGATCTTCAGCTTTCTTTGCCAAAGGGGTTCCTAAGACTATCAGAAATACGTTTTTCTGATGATCTTTGGCGACCCCTCTGAAACCCCTTTGCGACCCCCTCAGGGGGTCGCAAAGGGGTCGCAAAGGGGTCTGACCCCCAAGTTGAGAAATACTGCACCAGGCTAATCCAGATGTATGTTTTGTGGTGTGCTAACCTATGACAGTATTCATGCAACTCTTGCTATCATCCTCAAAACAATTAGCATCTGCACCAAAACTGAGCCAAATGTCTCTACTCTGGTAGAACATAAACATCATCTTTCTAAATACTCACATTAATATATCATCGAGTGGCTACTTTCTCTCTCTCTATGTCTCGTCAATTCATAGCTTCAACTGTCAATTTATGGCAACTCCATACATTTCATTGGGTTTTTCTTAGGCAAGAAAAACTCAGAGATGGTTTACCAATTCCTTCCTCTGTAATACCTTATTTAACTCTGCTTAGTTTTCAAGATCAGAGAGAATCTGGTGCCTTCAGGATATTTAGGCAGGCTGAGTGGCTACTGCAGGATAGTAAATGGTTAGTTATTGTATAAATAATTGAATATGTAATTTAAAAACTAGTCTGACAGCCTAATGTAATCTAGATAGAAAGAATATTCATGATGATTCATTCCCAGGTTTAAAATAGAAGACCAGCTGGAATTTTGTACAATTTTCTCCTGATATTGAATATCTCAAGGTATTGCAGAGGAGTAATTTTTTTTTGGAAATTTTTTTGTGGACAACAGTGTTCCATGAGCAAGAAGTCTATTTTGTGCAGAAGAAAACAGACTTTTTTTTTGCACAAAATATGTTTTTCTGTGCAGAATAAATTCTTTGGGACACAATAAACTCTTTGGGACAGAATAAATGCTTTGGGACATTCAAATGTAGGAGAATAGGCTTGAGGATTTTTTTGTGTCTCTATAGGAGGACAAACTAATTTAGGATTCACATTTGTAAATGTACCAGACTCCCCTCCCTAACAACAACAAAGCAGAAACAGACCTCTGCAAAGTAAAATAATATCCTGCCAGTTGAGTGAGGCACCAACACATTTTGTTAGAGAAGGTTGAAGACCTTTTAAAACTACAGCTCTGATAATTCCACAACATTTAGCTATGGCAGGTGAACTGGTGCCAAGCTGCATTTGTTCTGCAGCATATATGCAACCTTAATCTTTGTTATTAGGAAAGGGAATTACAAAATTTGTAATTGCTAAGAAATACTTACTTCCAAGCACAATTCTCCATACTTTTGATACACTTAGCATAAGTAGCTGAATGACTGAATTTGCTAAGTGAAAGCTGACAAGTTTTTTTGTTTTCACTTTGCTACAAATGACAGAGAAAAAAGCTAAACAGACTTAACCAACAAGAAGCCTGGGCTAAAAGGAGATTTGTTATATCCATCCAGCTGTTAGTTAACATTCCTTATGTTTCGCCTACAGCTTTCAGTGTGAACAAAGGATATTTAATATGCTGTGTTCTCTTAAGTGACCTTGTAACAACATCTTGTTTAAAAATCACCCAAGGCCAAATTACTCCTTGATCACTTTTATTTCAAAGTAATCTTCCATCACTTCTGCCAATGCCTGTAAGTTTAAAAGTTGAGAGGGGAATCTTACACTGGTTTGTTTGTGCAGTCATGACCTTACATTTCTCCCCAGAATGGTCTTCAGGCCAGGATACAATTGAATTATTACAAAATCAAATTGTAATATTTAAGTAAACCCAAGGCCACCTGTTTTCCTACCTGCCCCCATGATTTAATGTGACAGAGGGGAATTATTTCCTTCTCCTGCTTGTTTGTGGATAATCCTGTGTGTTTGGTATGAATTGTTCATGTGAATCAGAAATTTTCTAGTGCTGGCAAGCAGATGCTGCTTGAGGTGAAAGAAATCATGCAATATTAATTTGTTTAACATTTCTATTCTGCCTTATATCATTAGACCTCCTAGTAGCATAAAAAACCAAATTAAAAAGTATAGAATCATTCAAACAGTGTGAGACATGTAGAACAGTGTAAGACATATAGAACTGTCTTAAAACCATTTTACTATTTGATCAATATCCTTAGGTCCCATTTTAAAAGATACATTTCAACGTGGAGCTGAAATATAGTCTGGATCACTGTCCCTTTGGCCCTTTAAAGTGATCATAAGTAGGGTGGGCAATTGAGCAAACTTTCTTACACATGATCACAATGTATTGCTCCTCTGGCATATTTTAATTCATTGGCAAATGTATAGAGAGAGACCTTCTTTCACATATTTATGTCCTAGGCTTTAAATGTCATCACCAACACCTTGAATTCAGACCGGAAGCATACTGGCAGACAGCATAAAACCTTTACAGTTGAGGTGTGTTTTCTGTAAGGTATTCCTGCCAGCAATCTATTTGGAGCGTAGTGCATTTTTGCCATCACCTTCAAATGCAGCCTCATGTATTTTTTTTTAATTGTCATTGAGTTTGCTTAGACTTATATGGACCCTGTGAATGAGACTTCCAAGACATTCTTGTCATTAGCAGTGCTGCTTACGTTCTACAAACTCAGAGCTATGGTTTAAGTAATTGAGTCTATTCACCTGTAATATGGTCTTCCTCTTTTCCTGCCACCTCCCTCTTTACCAAGTGTTATTTCCTTTTCAAATGAGTCATGTTGGACCTCTTCACATGGGGCTAAAATCGGCAGCATGCATCGGTTTAGCCCAGGTCACCCATGGAGCCTACTGGCTCCCATCAAATGATGCTGGCATGGCTCCGTGGATGAAAGAAGGCAGAGCCGGAGCATGCAACTGCCACAGCAACACGGCGTCCCATGTTGCCATTAGAATCCATGGAGGGAAGCCACACATTCCACACATGTTCACATTTCCCACCATGTAATTACCTTAAGCTGGAGCCAGGCAATGTGGGGTGTGGAGCGCCGAGTTCCCCATGCCCCCTGATGAAGCAGAGCAACTCCAGCGGCCATATGACAAAGTCAGTTGTCTCATGGTATGGCCAAAGTTTGGTAGGCTTAGTTTGGTTATTTTGGTTTCCCGGGAGTGTTCTGGCTTGATTCACTGTAGGGTCCACTTATTGGTCATTTTGGCAAACCATTGGATCCATAGAACTCTGCACTGACACCACATTTCATATTCTCTCCTTGATGGTTTTTTATAAATTTACAGAACATTGCTTGGCCAATTTCAAGACCTGGGAACAGCCATTCCACAGATATTCTGTCTGATTGAGATACAGTCTCAGTTAACTGGCCTTCACCTAGCCTGCATAACATGTAGGCACTAGTCCAGCATCTGCACAGCTCCAGTGAGGAGGAGTAGCAGAGTGCCATCAGCATACTTTTGGTGTCCATCTCTGAATTCCTTATCTAACAATTGCATGTCAGTAGTAAATGGCTTGTGGGGCAGGAACGATCCCTGTAGCAGCCATGGGAATGAACCAGAGTCCTCCACTGTTTACAGTGTGCAACACTGTTCTCCAGTATTATGTGTAAACCCTTTCATTTGGCCCATATGCATGACAACATATAAATTAGGCATTAGTGACTAAATCAGAGAAGCGGATAAAGGCAAGCATGACCTTTTAAACAGGAAACAATACCTTGGTTCCGTAATGACCCTGTGAGCTTTTCTGTCTGGATCTGGTTATATTTATTAGGGGGAGAGTGCAGCAGCTGCCTCCCTCTGGACAACGCCGTGCTCTAGTTTCCTGCATCTACTCCTCTCATCTACATACTTGTCATCTGTTCAGAGCAAGAGAGCAAAAATAATCCCTTGGCTTGTGATAGGTGCTTGTGACTCTGACTGTGTCCTAACTAATGGGCTGTTCTCTAGCGCACTTCCAGCTCAGCACTCTGCTGCATAAGACAGAGGCAGGCTATAGGGAATGGGGAGGATGTAGCTATTGCTTGTGCAGGGTGATATAGACAGACTGTGGGATTTGGAAAGGAAATAAAGTTTTCAGAAGGAAAATCTTTTGAGCAGAGAAGGGTTCTGATATGTATGAATGTCAGAAAGCAAAGTGAGACTAACCTTTTTTGTTTATTTAGGAGCAAGATCCAAGAGATGCAGAAATGGAGGATACAAGGAAAGGTATGAACACTGCTTTGTGTATATGTGGAGCAGACAGAACAGACTGTCCTCAGACCAGGCATGTAGCCGGGGGGGGGGGGGGGGGGCTTCACCCCCTCCCCAAAATTCTCATGATGGTTCGCGAAAAGGCCTTACTGGTGCATTACTGAAACTGTTATGTTTATTCATATCATGATCTGATCACCATACTCAATATATCCCATATGCATGGGGGTATTGGGGTAATGATACAAAAGGTTTGCTAGGGTAGACCCTCTTTCACTCAGACCCAGCCCCCCCGAAACTCAGCCCCCCCCCGAAACCCCCCCTGAAAAAAATTCAGCCCCCCCCCCGAAACGAAATCCTGGCTACGGGCCTGCCTCAGACTAGCATCTTCCAACATTTAGTACTGTTGTTCCCATTATCCTGATTGTGCATGGCCATTGGCTATCTTGAATAGTAATAATGGAAATTGCACCCTCACACATCTGGAAGGCATTGGGTTGGGAAATGCTTGAATAAGACATTCTTGTTGAAGGCCATGAGAACAGAGATGCATTGCTTGTTTTGTCTTCTGAATTCTTAGAATCTTAGTTTCCAGATTCTTTTTCTTTTCTTTTCTTTTTTTTGGAATGACTTTGTTTTGTCTTTTGTTTTGCTTTGTTGCAGTATAAATAGGCTACTTTGCAGATGTCGTCTTGTCCCTGAGATGGAAGTGCCGAGCATCAAGGATTTTCAGTGGAAAACTCTTGCACCCTTGTCCAGCCCAAGAGTCTATTGCTCCCTGGTTGAAGCTGGGGGCCAAGTTTTTGCCATTGGGGGCTGTAATGACAATGGCACCCCCATGGACTGCTTTGAAGTGTACTCCCCTGAAGCCAACCAGTGGAATTCTCTTCCCCCAATGCCCACAGCCAGGGCTGGAGTAGCTATAGCTACATTGGGAAAGAGAATAATGGTGATTGGAGGAGTTGGCGCTAACCAGATGCCCTTGAAGATTGTGGAGATGTACAACATAGATGAGGGCAAGTGGAAGAAACGCAACTCCTTGAGGGAAGCTTCGATGGGGATCTCTGTGACAGTGAAAGGCAAGACAGATTATTTTACAAAAAAAAGCCGTTGACAACATAATATTGACTTTTAGGGAAGTATTTACCACCCCTGTGTATTCCTTCTAAGCAATTTGATGGATGGGGGTCAAGTACATTGCTCCTTCAGAGACAGCTATGAGCCAATTTCTTGTACACTGCGATTATGGCCTGGCTTTGACCCTTGTGCCTGAGGTGTTGGAATGACCATCTCTGAATTGCTGGAGGTGAGGTCAGGCAATTTTAAACAGTCTAGTCTAGGACTGGCTGTGAAATCCGTCTCATAATTGCTGTGCACCATCTGTTTCATTGACCTCGTCTCTGCTTGCTTTAAAAAAAAGCAAGCAAAAGCAGACACGTTCTGTATTCCTGCCAAATATATAGGACAGCCTGATTGTTGTGTTTCGTTTGCAGAATGGCTTTACTCATTCTTGAAGGACAAAAGAACCAGTGCTTTCTAGTGTATGAGACAAATTGAAAGGCTTAGCTAGAGCAGGACACAAGAACTGAGAAAGTGAAGGTCATTGTCCAAAAAGCTGTATATCTCTTGTAAAGCACTCCACCTCCTTAACTGCAGCTCTTTCTTGTAGAGCTGCTTTTGAAACCCTGAGCCTCTTCCACTTCAAATAGAAGGCATGGATCTTTTGAAGCCTGTGTTGGAATGGTACATTCCCTATTATTCTCGTGACTACTCTCCATGTTCAAAGAAACCATTATTCTTGCATGACAGATAAATTCCATATACTATTAATATTGCCAAAGGGAATGCAAGCATCTTTCAGGGGGGAAAATGATGCAAAGTTGTGGTAACAATGTCTCTGCAGTTGAAATGATATTGAACTGCAATGGGTGTGATTACCAGTCAACATAGCCAAAAATGAGAAATGATGGGAGCAATAGTCCAAGGATATTTTTACAGCCACATGATTCCCATTTTTATTTTATATTATCGTATTATCTAAAGCTGATGTATATATTGTATACATTTTTTTCTTTAGCAAGGAAACATGCTTTTCATGATTAAAACTGCAGTTATGTATAGGATGGGTGGTGGGCATCTGGAGATATTCTGAACTCTTATCTGTTCCACTTCAAGACAGCTGCAGGTCATGTTGAGGGTTACAGCATTAAAATGGACAGTTCCTACATAGACTTCTGGGGCAACAATTACTCATTTCAGGCCCATTTTTGCCAGCAATGGCCAGGGATGGGGAGGAGATAGGAGGCAACCTAGGGTGGTCATATATGGCCAAAAGACACCTCTATTTCCCACCTCTGCATTGAGGGAGGATGCAGTCAGGTTCTCTTGTTTTCAAGTTGATATTGACCCTGTATTTTACTTTTTCTCTGAGGCCGGAATAAAAAGCCTCAATATCCAATTTCCCTGTGGAGCAACACTTTAAGGGGACCTCTTCTTAGACTATTGAGGTATATCAGAGATAGACCAGATGTTAATTTTGTATTTTGTATTTGGAGTTACTTGTCTCTTCCTGTCTTTTCCAGATTACAGGATCTATGCAGCAGGTGGAATGGGAGCAGATCTGCGCCCACACAATTATATGCAGCATTATGACATGCTAAAGGACATTTGGGTATCATTGGCCACCATGCCAACACCAAGATATGCTGCTACATCCTTCCTGCGAGGCACAAAGATCTATGTGCTGGGTAAGAATCAGTCTCAGGCCTTTTCCCTTCAATTGTTAAATGTATCTTATTTTTAACTGCTAATATCCTTCTGTCTATTGAAAGATCTCGGGGGACACACACAGATAAAACCAGTATTAATAGGTTAAAACAATTTTTAAAAATTCAAATAGACTAAAATATTAAATAATTTTAGAAGTTAAAATAGGGCTAAATATTGATACATTATTTTGTTTATGTATTTTAAAATATTGTTTGGCATTGGAGTGATCTGCTGTTATGCATGTGAGTGATTAGTGGGCATTAATCTAATCTTAACCCTTCTATTCCTCTCAAAGAAGTTAAGCAACCTTCACTTCCTTGCCTAAGGCATTGTCCCTCTAATACACAATGCACTGTCTGAAATTGCCTAAGATTGGTAATGCCAGATTGAGGGAAGCTCGTCCTTAATACAATCAAGCCCCCTATATTTGCAGGTTTGACTTTTGCAGATTTGATTTAAATGTTCTCTCTAGAAATCTATAGGCCTTTTAGTATGGCTCTGTGGTCAACTTCAGTGGGAAGGCCCTAGAAATTCCTTGGGAGATGTCTATTCAGGTAAAATAAAAATGTTTTTTTTTCTGGATTGCTGTGAGTTTTCTGGGCTGTATGGCCATGTTCCAGAAGCATTGTCTCCTGACGTTTTGCCCACATCTATGGCAGGCATCCTCAGAGGTTGTGAGGTCTGTTGGAAATTAGGTAAGTGGGGTTTATATATCTGTGGAATAATGTCCACGGTGGGAGAAAGAAGTCATGTCTGTTGGAGGCAAGTGTGAATGCTGTAATTGATCACCTTCATTAGCATTGAATAGCATTGCAGCTTCAAGACTTGGCTGCTTCCTATCTGGAAGAATCCTTTGTTGGGAGGTGTTAGCTGGCCCTGATTGTTTCTTGTCAGGAATTTCCCTGTTTTGAGTGTTGTTATTTCTTTACTGTCCTGATTTTAGAGTTTTTTTAAAAAAATAATGATAGCCAGATTTTGTTCATTTTCATGGTTTCCTCTTTTCTGTTGAAATTGTCCACGTGCTTGTGGATTTCAATGGCTTCTCTGTGTAGTCTGACATGGTAGTTGTTAGAGTGATCCAGCATTTCTGTGTTCTCAAATAATATGTTGTGTCCAGATTGGTTCATCAGATATCTAAACCCCACTAATCTCACAACCTCTGAGGATGCTTGCCATAGATGTGGGCAAAACATCAGGAGAGAGTGCCACACAGCCTGGAAAACTCACAGCAACCCAGTGATTCTGGCCATGAAAGCCTTCAACAACACGTGGTTTTTTATTCACAATTTTACAACTTTCATGAAGGTCTTGTGCCTCTTCCCCAGTGTATGCGGAAGATTTATCATTTTCTTTTGTTTTTATAAAAGTAATAACCAGTCATTTTAAAAAGAGTTTTAAAATGAAAAAAGAAATGAAATCTTATTATTTTGAAATGAAATGTTTTATATTGCACATAGCACTGCCCCCAAATGTATACTTATTTTGAGCAACGGAGAGTGATTCTCACACTTTTCTAGAAGCTATTCAGAGGTAAAACAAACACTTTGGTGCCACATTTCCAGTGGCTTTTATTTTTAGCCTTGCAAAGTTTACCCTGGTGACTACAGCAGAGGAGTAGTTGCATTACAGCAGAAACAAAAAGAAGCTTGTGAAACCCCTATGACTCACAGATCTATTGCCGCATAAATGTTTATAACACAATAAATCAGTTAGTCTTTAAAGTGCCAGAAGACTTCTCTGCTGTTTATGCCTGATAGTTTCTGGAAGGCCGTTCAGTTTAATTCTACCTTCTGGCTGTATAAACCTCTCCATTCAGTTACATTTCTATCCAGCTTTATCCAAAAGGTTAAAGAACCAGATTTTGTTGCCACCGCTTCATGGTTTTAAAAGCAGTCATGAGAACAACTAGGAATTCATTTAGGCAACCACAAAAGGCTTCTACTGGTGAATTTCTGGGTATCAGGTACCATTAAACATGATGTTGTGTACATAGCAGGTATGTTACCCCACCAGACAGTATTTCTGCACTCAAATCTCTTGCTGCCTGTAAGAAAACATATTATGGGTTTACAAGACTAGGGGCCCTTCCACACAGCCATATAACTTGGAATATCAAGGCAGATAATCCACAATGTCTGCTTTGAACTGGATTATCTGAGTCCACACTGCCATATAATCCAGTTCAATGTGGATTTCATACAGCTGTGTGGAAGGGGCCTAGGTTAAAGGATGTTTCTCCTTGACATTAACGACATCAAGTCTAGTCAAGGTGAAGTATCCAATTGCTTTGGAATCTTTTATATTAGGGGTGGGTGGAAAGTAAATTAATAGATAGGAAGCTTCAAAACTACAGGAAAGGAGATTCCACCTGAACATTAGGAAGAACTTCCCAACCGTGAGAGCTGTTCCGCTATGGAACTCTCTGCCCTGGAGTGTGGTGAAGGCTCCTTCTTTGGAGGCTTTAATACAGAGGCTGGATGGCCATCTGTCAGGGGGTTCTTTGAATGCGATTTTCCTGCTTATTGGCAGGGGGGTGGACTGAATGGCCTATGAGGTCTCTTTCAACTCTATCATTCTAAGGGACTCTAATCTAATCTAGATTAAATCTAAAATAGGTTAGGTAATGACCCATGGACATTTTCAGATGGACCACCTTGCATCTGATGCTTGCTGGATTCCAGCAAAGATGCTGGACATGGCAGCATTTTTCTGGTTGAGCAAGGTAGTACTTGAACTTCCTCCTTCCTCCTAGGTGGAAGACAATCCAAATATGCCGTGAATGCCTTCGAAGTCTTTGACACTGAAACAAGATCTTGGACAAAATTTCCCAACATTCCCAGCAAAAGGGCTTTCTCCAGCTTTGTCTGTGCAGAGAATAAGATCTTTAGCGTTGGGGGATTGCGGCAGGGCAGGTTATACAGACAACCGAAATTCATGAAGAATGTGGATGTGTTTGACATTGAGCAAGGTGAGTACTTATGAGGTCTCCCTCAGTTTTCCACAATTATTCCTGTTGTTTTGTACCTTCAAGTGATTTCTGGTTTATGGTGACCTTAAGGCAAACCTGACACAATTTTCCTTGGCAAAATTCATTCATGAGTTTCCCATTGCCTTCCTTTCAGACTGAGTGAATGTGACTGGCCCAAAATCACCCAGTCGATTTCCATGGCTGAGCAAGGATTCAAATCTTGACTTGTCAGAATCCTAGTGCAATACAATCAGCCTTCTGTATCCACGAGCTCTGTACTCACCAATTTAATCATCCATGACTTGAAAATATTTTAATCTCAGAAACAAGCCTTAATTTTGCCATTTTATATAATAAGCAGCACTATTTTATTACACCATTGTATATAATGGAAATTGAGCATTTGTGGTTTTTGGTATCCAAAGGGGGTCCTGGAACTAAATCCTAGTGGAAAACAAAAACCCACTGAACTCAAAATGTTGGTACTATTATAATATTTTTAAAAGACACTTTGGGACATGTAATGGTAATAAATATCCACACCTGTGTGAAGGCTTTCCCCAGACATCTCCAAAACCTTGGCAAATTTGTTCATTTTCAAAATAGATACATTTCGAAATGCATTTGGGAGAGAAAAAAAGCTCAGAACTTTGGGTACTTAGGACTTAAAAGTCTAGGATTAAATCCTGCTATATTCAACCATATTAGTGCTACCCATAAATGTCATGGTGCTCCTCATGCTGAGCTTAGTTGCATCTATTCAATGTTGCCACTATATGCTATATAGGGAAGAGATGATGATGATGATGATTTGTTTATAATTATCTATCAAAATCTATGAAGTTATTCACATTCAGTATAGAAAAAAAAACTTTTGAGGTTTAAATATATGCATATAGAAGAAAGCAAATATTAAAATTCGATTCCTATCCATTGCTGCTTCTGTTTTTACAGATTTGGATGTATTTTACCAGGCTGCACACTGACTGCTAAATATTAATGAAATCCATCAGTCAATTTATGCCATCGTAAAGCGCTTCTACTTTATTTCAGGATAGTGGATGTCATCTCAAGGACTACAGAAGCCAAAAGAATAGTAGCAAAATCTATGGGCCCTGTACCTATGCCAGGCAAACCTTCTGTTCTCACTGTACTGTCAGCTTCTCTTGGGCTTTGTAATGAACTAATCTACATATGAATATAGATCCACTATAACAGGGAAACAGAACAGACCTTTTGTGGAAACAATGAGTGCAGGAGTCAGGTTTAACCCAGTGAAAGACCTCCCTTTACATGGAAACAAAGCATGTGAGGAACACCATGTCTTCTGTGTGAAAGAAATGAAAGCTAGAAAGGAGATCTCTTACCTTCTACTAGGATGCTCTTTCCTACCGAGTATGTTTCAGAGGATTTTAACCCACATAGCCTATTTTTTTCCAGCAACTGGGCATTGATGGGAGTAGCAGTCCAGTCTGCTGTTTGGTTGAAGTTTGGAAGATAAATCTAGTAAATTCCTTCACTAGCATCAAATGCAGTAATACGGGTAGGATGGAGCAGCACTGCTGAGACAGAAGCTGTATAATGGCACTTTAACTGTCATGGATCAGTGCTCTGGAATCCTGGGATTCATAGTTTGGTAAGACACCAGCATTTTAGAAGAGTAGGCTAAAGACCTTATGAGACTGCTGTTCCCATGATTCCACAGCATTAAGCTATGGCAGCTAAAGAGGTTTCGAACTGCATTCATTCTACACTGTAGATCAGGCCTGCATAATATGTGGCCCAGGCCTCACAAGGTTTTGGTGCAGCCCACAGAGGCTCTGAGCCTACACCTTAGAGAAGAAGGTCATATGCTGTGGTATAGCAGAATAGTCATCAGAACCCACCATTTCCCCCTCCAAGTCTTTTACCTCTATGTGTTTCCTATCTCTGGGCATCAAAATTAGCAAACTAACCTATGGGAAAAGGGGAACCACCAACAGATGCAGTCAGGATGCTGGAGGGGCTTGTCTCGGTTGGGAACATGGCCTGAAGAGGTTGTTGGACTCTGGTTGGAGTAGTAGGGAGTAGGGATGAAGTTTTAAGGGGCATCAGGCCTTTATTCAGGGAGGTTGGAATCTTGGGCTCCTTTAAATTGGCCATTTTAGAGGAAGGTGGCAAAGAAGAAGGACCTCAGCTCTTGCCTCAGCTGCTCTTCCTTTCTCTTTGCCTCTGTTGTCTACTCATTCAGTGGCAAAACTGCCAACTCTGCACTGTTTGCATATGAGGGAAAAACTTGGCTATGCCTCTCTTCCTTTTCTTTGCCACTGGGTTGCTTCTGTCATCTCTTTCTCCTCCTTCAGTGGAAAAAACACCAACTCCCCACCATTCATTTCCCTCACTTGTAAAGGAGAAATGTAGCTTCACCATGAAGTTGTTGTTGTGTCTTCATAGAGAAGATACGTTTCTTCCTCACAAATGAGGGAAATAAAGTGTGCAGAGTTGGCAGTTTTTCCCTCCAAAGAAGAAGGAGACAACAGGGGCAAAGAAAAAGGAAGAGAAGCAGAGGCAAGAGATAAGGCACTTCTTCTGTCCCTCAGAAAAAAACTGCAACCTGCCACCACACTGAGGGGAGGCTAAACCATTTTGTTGCTTGCTCTGAGGGAAAGGTAAACCCTGAGTGAGGTGCTAAAAACCTATCTGCAACCCAAAGAGGTTTAGCCTATTTAATTTCAGCCCCTTACTATTGCCAAGCAGGCTTGCTGTAGATTCACCCAGAGTTAGATTCCACCTTTTAGATCTGGCTGCTCATCATTCAGAACCTGACTTCAGATCTAAAGTTGCCTTGGGAATCTTTTCCACTGATGTCCATCTCATTGGGGACCTTTAATACTTCTCCTGGCAAAATATATCCTTTCAAGGGCTTACTAGTTTAAAAATGTGTGGTCATCCAATAACTGACACCAAGTGGCCTGACTACCCTGACACGATATTAATATGACACCATATTAATTATCCACGCGGCCTTACATTTTGGCAGAATTAGAATAGCAGTGGGTTGAGTTCAGTCACATAGGTTAGGTCCACACGTCTGCACCAAGGAACCGACCAACCCCAACATCAACAGTTGGTGGGCTCTCCTGAAGTCCTGGAGCTTGACCTTTGCCTAGATGTACTCAGTGTCATTACCAGGCCTGCCACTGATCAATCGTGTGTGACAAAAATATGTGTGCTAAAAATTATGATACTGTTGCAATGAGACACACATATCAAAGTTTTCATTTACTATTATTTTAATTCAGTATAAGGGTGATAGAGCCTTCTCAAAGGAGTAAAGAAAAGTCACATTTATGTAACATGCAATCTGGTTAATTTTCAGGAGGCTGGATGAAGACTGAGCATACAATATTTCTGAAGAAACGGCGGGCTGATTTTGTATCTGGTTACTTGAAAGGAAGAATTGTTGTAGCTGGAGGGTTAGGTGAGAATGATCCTTATCCTTCTATACCATATCCTCCAATTGGGCATACTTTTTACCTCCTTTTCTCCTGTGCTTTCAGTTTACTTCAGCTGCTTCAAACTGAATTCCAAATGCAAAAAGAGTTTGCACTCAATTAACTCAGCTGAAACAAAAAAGTGACAAAATTTCGTTACTCTCGTTATAATAATGAAATTTTTGCTAATGACACTATAGAAACGAAATGCCAGCACCTCCTAATTTTGTAATGGTTTTGAAACTTTTTTATCGATCAGACAGCCCTACGAAATTCAAATGAAAAAGTTTGGGTACTTTCAATTCTTTTGGCGCAGGCCATGCCTGCACATTGGATATCACATCATAAATACAAATTTAACAAATTTGATCTGACTTACAACAACTAACGAAAAAATTGCACACTCCTAGTAGAAAGAGATAGGAGAAGAGAGAAGTGGGTAGAATCTTACGTTTCTCAGTAAACTCAGGTCAAATCAAAGTGCTGCAGCTTCTCCTATCTTGTGTTTTCTTCCACAGTATTAACTTTTGCACTCTTACCATATTGTGACATTGCTTTGTCACATGTGACCGTATTTTCATCTTCAATCCCCACTCTGTGCACAATTGGGCAGGCAAAGCACAGTGCCAACTTGGAGTCTATGAAAAGGTTAGACAATGTATGGCTCTCCAGATGTTATCAGACAGCATTTCCTATAAGCTCTAGCCAAAATAGTCAGGGGTGAGAGATTAGGGGAGTTGCAGTCCAACAAAATCAGAAAGTGCATATGTTTTACACTCCTGAAACAGTGCCCTAATTCTTTTCTAGGTAAAAAAGGCAAAATTCTGTACTATACTACAAAGTAGGTAACTGTAGTCTGGACATTTTGACTTAAATCTAGTGGTTAGTCCCCATTAGGCCAGAGCCATTGGTTTAGTGGATATTATGTAACGTAAGGATTAACTAACAATAAAAGTTCTGTGCCTTCACTTTGAGTATATAGCTTTATTCTTTGTCCCTCTATCTGCACCCCCTGCATTCAGGAAACCAACCAACTGTTCTGGAATCAGCTGAGGCCTTTCACCCTGAGAAGAACAAATGGGAAAGCCTACCTCCTATGCTCACCCCGCGATGTGCCTGCTCCAACATTGTGGTCAAAAACTGCCTTCTGGCTGTTGGAGGAGTGAACCAGGGCCTGAGTGATGCAGTGGAAGCTCTGTGTGTCTCTGACTCCTAGTGGGTCCATCTCCAGATGCTCCTTGTACAAGGGGCCTACACAAACCACCTGAAAAAGTCATTACTCTGCCGTTCTGAGTGTTGGGCCACTACTGCGTAACACAGGAAGAGTTGACACCTTTATCCATCCCACTCTGCAGCTTTCCTGTAGCTTCTTTCACTCTATATTTCGGAGAAGGTCCCTTCTTGCCTTATGTAGCTGTAGTTTCGTGGCTCATTCAGCCAACAGAAGTTCAGACACTTGTGGGAGTGCCATCTCTGCCAGCATCACTGAGCTGCACAACTTGATGAATCTAGAGTCACTCCCTCCTGCCAACTCTAAATGGCCGAGGCACATGCCAACTTTCTCACAAAGGAGCAGAAGTTTATCACACAAGTCAGGGTGTTTTAGCCAAGGATTAGAAGTAGCACCAACTATGAATAGTGTGAGGCCATTTTGTCTTCCTCCGAAATACTGTGTTTGAAACACACCCATTGAGTGAAACATAAGGGCCTCTGTTGGGTTCTTCACAGGTTAACTATGAAAACAAAGAAGAGAGTGAATCACACAGAGTTAGTGCTTGTGTCTCCAGTGCACTTTAAAATGCTGTCCTGATAGTGATGGACTCTTAATCAGACCTTCTCAACCTCTGAGGATGCTTGCCATAGATGCAGGCGAAACGTCAGGAGAAATGCCTCTAGAACATGGCTCTATAGCCCGAAAAAACCCACAAGAACCTAGACTCTTAATTTCATTCTGTGGAAGCCCTGCAGCGGTGCATTACCCCAGACGTTGCCTGCTGTGACGTTAGATTCAAAGCATATGGAATGGATTTCCAAGAAGCTTACTAATCATGCAGCTAGTTGGATGGAGAACCATCTCTGTTGGTGGGAGAGGAGCAAATCTGTTGCCTTGATTGGCAGTTCCTGCAATTAGAGTTGGATATTGCTTGTCTGGAAGGTTAAAAGCTGCAGAGAAAGACAGCAGTGTTTGGGGAAAGGAACGCCTTCAAGCAAGGGTTTTAGATTTTAGTCTGAAATGTGTGTGTACACACACACATACACACAGGCATGTGTGAACAAGCATACATGCACACAACACACACACAATTTCAGTGTTAGTCATATTCATTGTTTTAGTCAACTCCTTTGCACTCTAGGGGGCATTTGCCAAACCTGGACTGAGCATAATGTAGCATAACGTTTGTGAAGTAGACATTCTGGGTTCAGCTCAGCTCTTCTGAGCTCATCAAACAACAAAGCTTAGGTACAGTGTTGCTGCTGATTTTATTGTTTTGTATGTACATGTATGTGCATTCACAGGTTCACACACACTCTGTCCTTCTTTACTTCAACTCAGAGGTTGAAATTGTCACTGTTATCCTAATTATGTACAGAACATCAGTTTCAGTTTTGTGAATTGTTAACAAGTAGCACAATTAAAAGTTATGTTCTCAAATTAACCTGAGTGCTTGTTTCTTTGAGGATGGGCCAAGGGAAAGATATGTTTTCCAAAGAGACTCATGTTGCTATAATTGTGCTTTCAATAAATGTTTCTCTAAAGCAGTTGTTCTCAACATGTGGGTCCCCAGATATTTTGGTCTGCAACTCTCAGAAATACTAACAGCTGGCAAACTGGGTGGGATTTCTGGAAGTTGTAGACCAAAACACCTGGGGACCCACAGGTTGCGAATCACTGCTCTAAAAAATTCCAGTGCATCCAGTACTAGTAGGCTATTGGTACCAATTGCTCATTCTATGATTCTATGATTCTATGAAGGTCCTTTATTCAAGCACCGTGGACCTTCCTCACCTCCTCCTCCTCCTCCTCCTCCTCCTCCTCCTCCTCCTCCTCCTCCTCCTCCCTCCTCCTCCTCCTCCTCCTCCTCCTCCTCCTCCTCCTGTGGGTCCATGCTCCCAGGGAGCGCTTTGGGGGCTGCCCATCCCCGCTGCCTCCCAGGCCCCGGTCCCCTTCTCCCCGCCAGCGTTGGCCTTCTGGGGCTGTGGGGGCATGAGGAGAGTTGCATTCACAGTGTCGCTATTGGCTTGGCTGCTTGAGTCGAGGCAGGCCTCCCCAGAATAATTGTGGGTGCAAGCGCCACCCCACAGAGCAGCGGTGGCATGGCTTCGCTCTCCCTTTCACCTCTCTGTAACCATAACTGCCTCCTCCCAAAGAGCTTCTCCAGCCCTTCCTCGTCATGTGCATATATATACACAGTGATTGTGTACTTCTGTACATAAGGGATGCTGCTAACAGATCCAAACGAGTGGTCTTAGGGTTCTGCAAAGAAAGGGCCTAGGAAGACTCTGCCCCATTCCCCCCCCCCCCTCAACTTTATGATCAGGAGGACTGGAGCCACAGAAGAAGAGGCAATGGTTAAGATGGTGGTTTGCAGGGGACTAGCAAATGTTACCTTCCTGATGACCTGTTCCATGTTCCTGCTGCTGTGGATGTCATCTGCGCATCAGGAAGGCTTCTACGGCCATGTGTACGAGAACCTACACCATGGTCACAGTCACAAAGGTCTTCAGCGATGAGGACTTGCACCATGGCCACACCCATGCTGGCTATGGCCACTGCACAAGCACCTCTGGCATGATCCTAGGGACCATCACCAACATCTTGATACCCATGAGGATTTTTACCACAGCCACTTGCATGAGAGCCCCCAGCATGGGCAAAGCCACTACCATGAATAGGACCCATGGCCTCCTTCATGACCATTCACACAAGGACCGCGTTGGTGGCCCCAACCAGAGCTAGGCCTTCCCCAACCATGAGAGCCCTCTCCCAGGAGAAAGAAGCTGGACACATTTCAGCTGTGGACCTACACTGTCAGGGCCACACTCCTGATCAGTGCAGTGCCCTATGTCATCCTCTTCCTGATCTCAGTGGAGTCCAATTCCTCCCAGGCCCTACACAAGCTGCTGTTCAGCTTTGCCTTGAGGGGCTTCTTGGAGGACAACTTCCTCCACCTCATTCCCCCATATCTTGGTGTCCCCATTCCCATCATGAGAATATGAAGTACTGGGAGCAGCTGTTTCTGCTGTTTCTTACTGGTGAAAAAGAAAAGGGGAAGCGACTCCGATCATAAAAATACAGCAGCTCTGGACACCCATGGGAAGCAAAAAGAGAGCTCCATCTGTGAATGCATCCTCATTTCTCCCCCTCTTCCAGCAACAAGTTGAGCACAGCTGCTACTTCATGGTCTGAATCACTTCTCTACTCCTTCCCATAAAGGAGTCACTTTTCCTGAGGGAGATGGGGGCGGATCTAGAACTGTGCAGGTGAGGCTATGTTCCAAGGTAGGATCTCCTACCCAGCTTTGTCAGTTGGCTGCAGAACAAGGAGGGCATTAGTCATATGGATTTTCTGGATTGTATTGTGGACATACCCTATTCTAGCCCACAGCAGAAATGACAGTCAAAAGTGTGTACTAAAGTGCATGAGGATTATGTCAAAACTGCATACCTACTGATTTCATGTGAAAAATTAAGCCCATATAGTATAGCCATTGTATCACAGTTTCATTTATCCATATCTAATAATGCACACCATCTGTAGGCATTTTCTAGGTCTTTTAGTGCAAGTTTATAGTATTCTGGACCAAAGGGCCTTCATTTCATCAGGGTTTACTTTCATTTGTGGTTTCATGTATCCACACAAAGCCTGGGAACATACCTCTAGCAGATCCTGAGGGGTCATAAATCTATCTTCTTGGAATGAAAGAAAATCTTTAGTTTACTTCAGAATGCAGCCATGGTTTAATAACAGCCATTGGACATCTATGTAGCACAGAGTAGAAGCACAGACGACAGAAAAGGTAACATGATTCTTGTGACTGTAATATTGGCAGAGGGATAACCTTCATGCTTTCTCAGGCACCAACTGCAAATCTTATCATGTCATACACGCATTAATAAAGACACTTTGCCTAGAGGAGGAAAAATGGGATTTAGCATATTATAATCACAGCCCATAGTTGTACAGGGTGAAGGGGAGGAGAAAGCTGCATGGCAGCTTAGCAAGCACTGATCCCAAGTGTAAATGGCCTAAGCCTCTTGCCTTCTTTCAGATACTGTTGCTATTCCTCCATGGTTCTCACATGGCAGGAGCTGTCACAGCAAGAGTTTCTCAGGCAGTATATAAAAGGCTGGCTTTCCCCTGGCAGGCAGATAGAGCCATCTGTGCTAATCCTCTGCCCATACAGAACTGGCAGAATCACTGAGTGACGCACATGTTGGCAGGGAGTGCTTCTGAAAAACCGGTTTCTGTCGTACATAACTATAAAGTAGGCAAAACATCCCTCAGCTTTCCTGCTGCAAGTTGATAGCGCATACTGAAGCCTATAACAAGAGGGAGGGAGACACATGGGATGTATCCAGACTAGAAAGTCAAGATCAAGAGTATCTTTGGATATAGCCTTCTTGCAATAATGCTGGAAGGGGTAAAAAAAATCTACAAGCAAATACTATGTTTTCCTATACATATTTGAGTACTTTCTCCACGGAACAGCTTCTTTTTAGTGAAACAAGTATCATTAGATGCAATGAGCTCAGCGCAATGGCTGTGTGGTCAAAATATTCAGAGTGAAGTGGCTACAAGAGGGAAATGCCACAGGTTTCTTCACACAATTTAGAAAACAACAGCATGGAAATGATGAGCAGCTATTCTCTCTCAAGACAAAAGGGCAAGTAATGGGTTTACAGGACTGGTCATACCATTAGGCAATGGTAGCTGGTGGCTATGTTGTTAGGGTGTGAATCTGTTAATGGTTTCAGCATGAACTTTAAAGGAGATATCCAACCTCCTCCCCAAATTGTTTCTTTAAAGTTGGGAATAAAACTTTAAATGGATCAATGTACCATTGACATAGAAACAATCAGCTACCACTGATTTTAGGTAGAATGAGGCAACTGGTTTTGAGACCTTCCAGGGAAGGATGTGCTAAATTACAGGAATGTGTTGGAGGACAGAACAATGTGTGCCCTGTATACTCTCTTGAAACCCATGAGCTTCCTTGTTGCCTTCAGGTACACTGGAAAGCTGTGGAAGATTCAGTCATTGTTCATATGGCAAAGGAGAGACAAATCTTTGTCTCAGACAACAGAACATCTTGACCAGCTGTGCAGGATTTTAAATGTATTCCTATCTGGAATTGGTTCAAGGGAAGCTCAAAACAGGATCAGGTCTTAGACATTTTCTCCCTCTCATATGGAACTGGTTATTTGAGAATAATACAGTTCCATTGGGATGAGATGGTGATTGAAGCCTGATTATCAAAAGTTTATAAGTATGTGATGGATAATATATTTTTAAACAAGACATCATAGGTCTTGTTTCTCATGTTTTTATTTTATTTTATTTCCACATATGTATGTTTATTGACTTTTTAGCATGATAGTAAAAGTGCAATCGATGCCAGTGAGAAGACATTTAAGTAGAATATTACAAAAAAGGAAATGGGTGGATATTTGGACAAGGAAATGGGTCGCCTAGGTAAAACGTGAAAGCACAGCATGAAACAGTGCTGGGTAGCTAAAAGCAAATGTTATCAGCAGAGTAGATAATGAGGTAAGATAATTGGATATGGGTTTTGATGAGTATGTGAGTCAGGAGCATTAAGA